CCATGAAAGATCCATTTTCTATACCCCCGAACAAATCCAAAAACAACTAGATGCTCGTACACAACTTCACGAATATGCCAATTAATGTTCACACGATTCTTACAAGGGCAAAGAATCATATTCTCTTGGCTTGCATTCAGATAAAGCTAAATTTAGAAAGTTTTCGACTCCATTTCGATATTCGACGCTAACCCTTGAGAAATCCATCCAACTCTTATCCATTTCGTATTTCTAGAGTTTCAAATTCAAATGTTAATTGATAATATTATAGATAAATTTAGAACCTAGATTCCGATAATTGGTATATATCATCAAGTTCCTTTGATTTTGAACCTACTAGACATCAGTAGAATCTAAACTAATAGATCTATAATTGGACTATCAAACTTTAAATAGCTTAAAGATTAGAACTAGTAGTTAATTTTAAATTAGAAGAGCCAACTATACAATGTCTATTAAGAAAACTATTAGAAAACTAAATATCTTTAAAAGGGAAACAATCAACTAAACCATTATTGTGTTAATTATTTGGATTAATTAATAACTTTAAAAGGGAAACAATTAACTAAACCATTATTGAAGTGTTAAAGGACTTGCATCATCTTAGCATAGTTTTATGTAACATTCGAATTTAAGTGTAGATAATGCTTGTCACTAGATATTTAAAATTATAATAAACAAATTAATTAATATGAAATTGAGGGCTTACCTCTAATCAAACAAGCTGAGTTGTTCACAACAGATAGCAATAGATTTAAGTGTAGATAATGCAAGACAAACTGCATAAAATCAATATGAAAATGAAATAAGACAACAATACAAAATAAGACAACAAACAAATTATACCACTTTCTATCATGAACCCACAATTCTCTCCCCACACATACGCTCAAGCAGTTCCTTAGTATCTTAAATATGCATGTAATTACGTACTTATTTCCAACGGTGAAAGCATAAAATATTGTTAAAAAATTAGCTATTCTTTAACACATTTAATAATTCTATGCTTTTAAATAACAATTAAGTCAACCGAATGTTTCTAAGCATAAATATTCGAATGATTTTTAAAAGCAATAATACCTTAAAGATGAAACATTTGAACTAATTATCAAATGTTTATATTCATTGCATATACGTACATGCTTTAAATTCAAACCGTTTTATGCTTTAAACTCTTAAATCAAACGTTTTAAAATATTATAAACATTCATCACATCATTAATCATGTAAAGGTTTTTTCATCTAATATTATTCTTCTATTTTGAAACCTATCATATATATACTTATTTTCAATGTTGAATAATGACCATTTAATATCATTAAAAATAACATTTTAAAACAATTCAAATTGTTTTATCACAACTTTAAATGACCCTTGAAAACTACTAATTAAAACAACTTAAAAATCTTTCAACATGTGAACGAAACTGACATAAACTGCCCCCTTGGGTTGTTGGCTATGTAAAAGAATTAACTCCCATATATGGATTAATCAGCTTTTCTTATAAAAAAAATGGATTAATCAGCTAATATCTTTCATTTTATTGAATTTAAACCATATCTGACCTTGCAGAACATCATCATTCTCTGCATTAGATAAGAATTACCTAACCCCATTCTTCACAAGTCAGAACGAAGAAGATGATGATGAAGAGGATGGTAAAATTCACTTCTCTTTGCTTTGTGTGTATATATTATTTCTCTGTTTTGGTTTTGATGGCAATGTGGTGTAAATCTCACCCTTTCTTTCCGGAAAATTTTTTAGATCAGCCTATGCCCAGTTCAAGAAGGGGAGGGTATTATGACCAATAGATAATGTCCTCAAGAGCAGCTACAAGGAATTAACTCTTTGGTACATAACACATGAATTTCATTGCATACTGGCTGGGGAAAAGCTTGAGCTGCGCATATTAACTCTTTAGAATGTATAATAAATGTTTATTCACTTCAAAATAAATGAAAACGTATAGACAAATGTGCCAATATCGGTTTGGAATGGAAACCCTTTACCTTTCTCTTTGTGTATCATTAGCGTCATAGTCGATATAATCAGTATTGTATCGATCGGAATACCGAGGATATAGCAACGCTTTACTCTTTTGATCTTGAAAACGTTCCATGAATAGAAATGTCAATAAATTCAATCATCACAGGCATTGCCAGTAGTCTCTGCAAGAACAAGACCCGTCATAGAAATGATGGAACAGATTGGTATCTCTTACGATGATTTCCCTTTTAACAACTCGGGATGCAAATTTAAATGCTTAGTAGTAATATAAATATAAACTGCTAATTAAAATTGATAGTTTCGTTACTATAATTAAATAAAAACAATGTATCAAACGCACTTTAAAACACTGTTTCAAAGCATAATATATGCTCCAAACCTTAAACCAGTATGTTAAAACATTAAAATATGAAAACTCAAAACTTGTCATCTATAATGTTTGAACATAAGTTAATAAAATTCCATCAAACAATTATATAAGAAGGGCATATTCGACAAACATGGAAAGGGAGGAGTACAACCGTAAGTTTTCTTTTAAGTAAGATTCTCAAAGTTTTGTTTTTCGACAAAAAAAATGCTACAAAGTGATACTCTCTAGTTTACAAGCAAGCAGAGGTTACAAATTCAGAAGCAAGGGGACTTTCAAAATCTGGTAAGCAAAATTTTTGTTTGTTCTCCTAAATTAATACTATTGGAAAAGGTTATTTGTTGTGCAATCTGCCAATCCTAAATTAATCCCATCCTTATATTTAAACCCTGGAGGTAACTAATAATCCTATCTTAAGATTTAAACCCTAAAAATATCTTATAATTCTAACCCCATAATATATGTATTATTAATATTTATGGCTGAAAGGTTGTGGAAAACATACCTCAAAATCAGCCAACGTTGTCCTGACCTTAAACTCCCAGCAACACCGATAATGTAAGGAGAAAGCAAATTGCAGAGGCTCCCATGACGAACCAGAGCTGACCAACTGCTAACAAAGTCGGCTAAACCCTACCTCAACGAAAACCCAACCCCACGGTAGCCTTAATCGACCGAAAAACACCCCAACGACGGTGATTGTGAGCCAAAGTTGTTGGTTTCGCACTCTAAAACAGCCCCAACGACAACGAAAACAAGGGTCACAACGTGAGGGGATTTAGGGAAGAAGATCAAGGACCTTACCCTTAACTACGAATCGTGACAGAGATGAGCTGAGTGGACAACGGCGGGGTTAAAAGAGAGAAAACAGAAGGGTGGGGGCGTAACTCGTGAAAAAGGAAAAAGGGATAGGTTTTGTGATATAAAAGACAATTTATTTTGCGGCGTTTTCTAAAAAAACACCACGATTGATAAAGCCTATTGTGGCGTTTGGAGACAAACGCCGCTACAGTACACTTTATTGCGGCGTTTGTTACTAAAACGCCACTATAAATGAACCTATTGTGGCGTTTTTAGATACAAACGCCACTATTGATGAAACACACTATTGATGAAACCTACTGTGGCGTTTTTATAAAAATTCGTCTAAATTACCACTCTATCGCGGCGTTTATTGGAAAAACGCAACTAAAAAATAACCCTATTGTGGCATTTTTAGCACAAACGCCCCTATATTACTACTCTATCGTGGCGTTTTTTGAAGAAACGCAGCGATTTGATAAACAATAAATTAAATGTATGTATGTTCCTATTACGGTGTTTTTTTGTAAAAATGCCACGATTGTTAAAGCCTATTGCGGCGTTCGTCTCCAAACGCCGCTAAAGTACACTTTATTACGACGTTTGTTACTAAACCGCCACTATGAATGAAACTATTGCGGCGTTTTTAGATACAAACGCCACTATTGATGAAACCTACTGTGTCGTTTGTATAAAAATATCGGTATTTGATAAACATTAAATTAAATGTATGTATGTACCTATTGCGACGTTTTTGTAAAAACACCACTATTGATTAACCTATTGCGGCGTTTTTTATATAAACGCCGCAAAAGGTCATTTATTTAGCAGCGTTTGTATCAAAAAATGTCACTAAATACCTTTATTTATATAAGATTGACATATTTTAAATATTTCATTTCTTCTCTACATAAACTAAATTAACAACAACCATACATTTTAATTAATACAGAAGTTATGCATAAAACTACTTAACAACAAAATACATTATAATTTAGAAACATTAAAGTTATGCATAAACAGTCTTCACCATATTGTTCACTACAATTTAGTCTTTATTGCTCCTTCGTGGGGAACGGACGTAGGAAAGCTGTTTTCCTTGTTTGACGACGCATCGTTAAGTTTTTCCTCCGTGTAAACTCTATATGGAGAAACTCTTCATCCATTTCACCAAATAAATCTCCTACCTCCGGTTCACCAAGAAGACTCATTGCGCGCTTCAGTGCTTCACTTGAAACAGATAACGACTCTCTACCTACAATATGAAACTTGATTGGTGGTGGCTTGGGAACTAAATCAAACATTAAAATAAATTTAAATAGATGATATAAACGTTTACTTGGAGTAAAAGTAGAGGCAACATCATGTTCATTGAGGATCGATACTGCTTTTGCAATTGAAGATTCTTTTAACGCCACAGAGTTACCAAATTCGGTTCTAAACATCGGGTATTTATTCATTCCTCTATCATCATTCTCAATAAGCTTCGAATATCCTACATGCGTTTGATCTATGAAATTTGAGTAAGCGTACAAAAAGGGAAATATATTGGCAGAAAGATTCATAGATTATTACCTTCAAGTAGGAGATCAGCCATGGAAGGGTATGGAGCAATAGGACTTCCTTTCGAGTCATCATCGAGTTGCGACGGCGAGACCGGACTGATAGCCTCCCAACGATAATTTGATCCATCGTCAGAGCAAATATGCCATGTAGACATTCCAACGATAATTACTCTTACTCAATGCAACACCTACTCCTTTTTTCTCAAATACGTAAGTTTTTTGGGTTTTCCCCATTTTTAGAAAACCAACAAAAACAAAAATGAAAAAGATCATTAGTGATAACAGGGATCAAACCGTGGAATTGTGTTATAGTTTGTCGGTGAGAGGGCTGATTTGGTCGTCGGGACAGACAAAAGATGACGTCGCTTGGAATCCCGTGATGGCCGTTGTTGTTCCAGAGAAGAAACCGTGAGGGAAGAAGAGTTGAAATGATTTTAGGGTTCAGGTAGGAGAAAAGAGAGGACAATATATTACACATTTTGCGGCGTTTTAAAAAAAACCACTATATCACATGTTTTTTGCGGCGTTTATACAAAAAATGCCACTATTGATCAACACTATTGTGGCGTTTGTAAAAAAATGACGCTAAAGTATTATTTATATCGGTGTTTTAGATATAAACGCCGTTAATTTATCACTCTATTGCGGCGTTTGTCGTATAAACGCCACTAATTTACAAATCTATTACGGCGTTTATGGTATAAACGCCGCTAAATTAACACTATATTGCAGCGTTTTGGATGAAACGCCGCTAAATGTCTACTCTATTGCGGCGTGTTCATTATAAACGTCGCTATTTATTAAAACTTCTATGGCGTTTATTTAAAAACAACGCAAACCTAATCTTAATTGCGGCATTTGTTGTAGAAACGCCACTATGTACCACCCTATGGCGGCGTTTTGGTTAAAACGCCGCAATATTTCTACTCTATTGCAGCGTTTGCACAAAAAACGCCGCTAAAGTCTAAATTTGTGGTGTTTGGATTGAAAATGCTGCTATATGTTTAACTTTTGTGGCGTTTACTCTCCAAACGCCGCTAAAAACGCCACTACAAAACACTTTTGCTGTACTGCCTCTTGATACACTTCCATGGTGGCGACTTTATCCACTTCAATGATACCTCTCTTCATTTTCACGATGCGTGTTGTGTCAAGGCGGTTATGATCCCAGTCATAATCATCTCACTCGAATATCATCTTGCGTCAGAAATGATCACATGGGTTGGGGCCAAGCGATGGATATTGACGGTTGTGATCCGTGGTTAAAAGAGTACGTGGATTTTTCCAAGTGTTTTTTGTTCAGTTCTAGTGCGGGTGGCCAGAGGCTGAGCTCTCTTAGGGCCCAAAAGGGCCCCGACCCTTGCAAAACTTTTTGTATGTTCGATAAATTTTGATATAATATTATTTTAATTCATGTAAAAATAAATATTCAAGTAAAAAAAAGAATTTATTAAATATTTAATCATATAGGGGCCAAACTAAAGAATTGATAATCCAATATTCTCGATATTTTGATCTAATAACAATTTACGTCATTGTAAATTTAAATATTAGACAAATTAAACATTATATTTTAAATTTTAAGTTTAAATACATAACCACTATATATTTATTAAAAAGTTCAATATTTCGGTTCCTATCAATTCCTAGTCTTGGTCCCGTCCATGCGGGTGGCAACATGGTTTTCCATGCGGCTTTACGTGCATTGAACATTGATATCTCGCTGGTGAAAATTATAGGGCTGATAATGAATCAATCGTACTTCAGTGGAGTGGAAAGGGCTGAATCGGAGAAGAGATTCCTCAATGATCGGATCTTGCGTCTACCTGATAATGATCTTATGTGGTCCTTGGCTTTGCCGGACGGAGCTGACCGTGATCATGAATTATGTAATCCGATGGCTGCTGATGAGTCCCTTAAGGAGAAGATGGGACGACTGCCACAGTGTTTGGTGTATGGCCACCACGAGATTCCACTGATCGACAAGCAGAAGGAGTTGGTGAGAATACTGGAGGCACATGGGGTGGAAGTGGTGGCGGAGTTCCTCGAATGAGATTGCCATGAGATTGAGATTTTTGTTCTATCAAGAGTGCAAGAGCTGTACCAAGATGATGAAGAAGATGCACATGGATTTAAAAAAAAAATCTAATTGTCACGCAATATTTCCTTTAACGTTAAAGGGTTAACGAGAGTTAACGGTTGAAAGAATAAAACCAAACAGATTAAAAACATAAGAGATTAAACGCGTTTAATTTTTAAATTAACGATTAAATTCGGTCCGACAAAAAACAAAGAAACTATTCACATAATTTACTTTTAAAAATGTACCGATTGATATAAAAAAATACACTGAATTCATGACAGTATCATTCGAAAAGAAAACAAATCCAAATGGCCCTTTTCCTTATCAATATATAATTAGATAAATTTTGACTAAAAATCACAATTATGTTTAAAACAAGTAGTTATGCTTAATCAAACTTTGTTTGTCCAGAGCCTTCAATATTTCCAATAAAAAAGTCGAAACAAATCCGGTGGTTGTACAGATCTACGAACCGGGTGGATCCCATCTCCATCGGACCGGTTCTACATTCTGCCCTACAGATCTTATTGATTCCCTGTGACCAACACCTACCACCTTCAACTTGCACAAGTTTCACGCTACCTTGAGGAGCGTGACAACTACATCGTTTTCTTTGATCCACCAACCCTTAATGATAAATATATTACTCATCCAATTATAAACATAAATGTATTGCTTTTTAGGATAAACTCATTTAACTTTTAATAATTTCTTATTTTAAATAAATCGAAAATCAAAATGAATAATGAAAATTAAAAGATTAAACTAAATCAAAATAAAATGTTCAAATAATTCAATACTACAACCGAACCGATTTTAACTCCTATACCCTGGGTAGATAGCAAACCGGTTGGAATTATTTGTTGCCAAAAAATGGCAGATTTAATTGGAAAAACAACCCCACTGTCATTCTCGTCGCGTCACTACACGCTCCGACTTCTCCGCTCCAAGAGATAGCGGCGCGTGCAATCCTCCCAACCCTCATTCACTGTATCTCACCAAACCAAAAAGGAAAAACCATATAAATTCCCACTCTTTTTCATTTCATTTCCTCGCCGTACTTTCTTCGCCTCCTTTCCCTCCCATTCCAAAAGAGAAAACATCATCGATTATATCACGTCGACGATGGCTTCACTTGGAACCCCAACACTCAAAAACCCATCATCTGTCTTCCTTTCCTCCAAACCCCGCCTCCCTTCTGTTCTTTCCGCCGCATTCCCCAACACCCTCCGCTTCCCCCGGTCCCACCCTCAAGGCGGCCGCCGTTTCCTGATCATAACCGCTTCCGCGGCCTCCTCTTTCTCCAACAAACCCACTGTCCTCGTCGCCGAAAAGCTCAGCGAAGCGGGCTTGGAACTGCTCAAGGAGTTCGCCAACGTCGACTGCTCTTACAACCTCTCCCCCGAGGAGCTATGCACCAAGATCTCGCTTTGCGATGCCTTGATTGTGCGCAGTGGGACCAAAGTTAACCGCGAGGTTTTTGAATCTTCTGGCGGAAGATTGAAGGTCGTTGGGAGAGCTGGTGTTGGGATCGATAATGTGGATCTGTCTGCCGCCACCGAGCACGGTTGTTTGGTCGTCAATGCGCCTACTGCTAATACCGTTGCGGCAGCTGAACATGGGATCGCGCTCTTGGCTGCCATGGCTCGAAACGTGGCTCAGGCTGATGCTTCCGTCAAGGCTGGTTAGTACTCGAAAACAATTTTTTTGTCTTTTTTTTACATTCCATGTTGATTACTTAGATCCCGATTTTATGTTTGGTCTTTTGTTGCTATGGTTAAATATAGGAAATGGCATATAATTATGGATCTGTTTTGGTTATGATAATGACACTGTGTAAGAAATATATTTCCGACTATTGGCAGTTTAAGGTAATGTGGTTGAGATTTTATATTTACTTTAGGCAATATAAGCTCGCGGGATGATTTGATCTTATTTCTTTACGAATTACATTGATTTTGCCGTTAACTAGATTTCTGAAAAAACTTTTATGTGCTTTTATATGTAGGGAAGTGGCAGAGGAACAAATATGTGGGTGTATCTCTTGTTGGAAAAACGCTTGCTGTAATGGGTTTTGGAAAGGTTGGATCAGAAGTAGCTCGGCGAGCCAAGGGACTTGGCATGCATGTTATTGCACATGATCCTTATGCCCCGGCTGATCGTGCTCGTGCTATAGGTGTGGAGCTAGTGAGCTTTGATGAAGCCTTAGCGACTGCTGATTTCATCTCTCTTCACATGCCTCTCACCCCAGCTACTAATAAGATGCTCAATGATGAGACATTTGCTAAGATGAAGAAAGGTGTTCGAATTGTCAACGTTGCTCGTGGAGGAGTGATTGATGAAGAGGCTCTTGTGAGGGCATTGGATGATGGGATTGTAGCTCAGGCTGCTCTTGATGTTTTCAGTCAGGAGCCGCCAAAACCAGAGAGCAAGTTGGTGCAACATGAGAGGGTTACTGTCACTCCACATCTGGGTGCTAGTACAATGGAGGCTCAGGTTAGTTAATTGTTGAGTGCATGTATTAATGTCTCACTTGTTTCTAGACTTGATTCTATGTTTAAAAAAGCGCGATTAAAGCGCCAAGCGACTCGAGCGAGGCCCCTGGCGCTTCAGCATAGCAAAAGCACTACGAATTCATTAGAATCGACGCTTAATCGCGAGTTTAGAAGATACGATTTTGGGCTTTAGCAAATATGATTTTTGGGCTTGTTTAGGGTTTAGCGGGCTATTAGATTATCAGACTTAGATCGGCTTTTAGTTTAGGCGGGCTAGGGTAAAAAATGCAAGTTGATGAAGGAGATGGAAGAAGATATTGGAGTGTCTAGTGATGAAGGAGATGGTGTTGTCTGAGTTGATGACGATGATGATTTAGAGGATTTTTAGTTATAAGGAATTGAGGGTTTAGAAATATACTTTTGTTCATCTCACTTTAGACTACTTTTGGTGTAGACCATCTTTTGAGATTAATATGCTCGTATAGTCGTATGGTTAATGGTATATAAGTATTTAAGTGTTTATAACTTATAAGTAAATTGAGAATTATATTTTGGTGTTTAAGTAATTATAAGTTTTGAATATATGCATTGACACTTTGATATTTAAGTATATATAAGATAATTTATAAATATTCTGTATTTTTTTGTGAATTTCGGCCTTTCTGGCGCTTCGTGTGCATAAAGCGAGCGCTTTCGCTTAGCGCTTAGCGCTTCGGCGTCTAGGATCCTAGGCGCTCTAGGGCGCTTTACGCTTTTTAAAACCAAGACTTGATTATTGAATGAATCATTTCTATGCTTTTCAGGAAGGAGTGGCTATTGAAATATCTGAAGCTGTTGTCGGAGCCTTGAAAGGGGAACTTGCTGCAACTGCAGTCAATGCACCAATGGTTCCTGCAGAGGTACAATGGGTTATATTAATTTTGCTTTATATTTTACTTTATTCATCCTGGATTTCAGTTTCACTTATCCGTTATTCCCCTACAGATTCTAACTGAGTTGAAACCTTATGTCGAACTTGCTGAGAAACTTGGGAGGTTGGCTGTCCAACTAGTAGCAGGTGGAAGCGGTGTTAAAACTGTTAAAGTATCTTATGCTACCTCTAGAGCCCCAGATGATTTTGACACTAGGTTGCTTCGTGCAATGATCACAAAGGGCATAATTGAGCCAATTTCCAGTGTTTTTGTGAACCTGGTCAATGCTGATTTCACTGCTAAACAGAGAGGACTGCGGATTACAGAGGAACGTGTCCTTTTAGATGGTTCACCCGAGAGTCCACTGGAGTCCATCCAAGTTCAGATTGCAAACGTGGAATCAAAATTTGCCAGTGCCATGTCGGAGTCCGGTGAGATTAGGGTTGAAGGAAGGGTGAAGGATGGAGTTCCCCATCTGACAAAAGTAGGGTCATTCGAAGTGGATGTGAGCTTGGAGGGTAGTATTATACTTTGCAGACAGGTCGATCAGCCAGGTATGATCGGCACAGTTGGCAGTATTTTGGGCGAGGAGAATGTGAACGTGAGCTTCATGAGTGTTGGGAGGGTTGCTCCGAGGAAGCATGCAGTGATGGCCATTGGAGTCGACGACCAACCCAGCAAGGAAAGTCTGAAGAGGATCGGTGAAGTCCCTGCCATCGAAGAGTTCGTTTTCCTCAAGTTGTAGTCTGGCTGTATTGGTACCTACATATCTTTTCCTTATCAGGGATGGTTGGGCATTTTTATACTACATTGTATTGTAGTGCTCAATTTTGGAACTTGTCATTTGAGTGTGTTGTGTCGTTGCTTTTAGGGTGATTAAAGTAGGGGGAGAAGGAATAATTGAGGTTTGCAACACATATTTTAATCTGATTTTAATGAATGTAGTAGGATCTTTCCTTTTACCAAATTATGAACTATTTGGTTAATGAAATTCTGTTCTTTTACTGAGTTAATTCTAATTCCAGTTATAATCAAATAGTGAACTGTTTTCAGGCATAACCCTTAAAAGATAAACATTTCATTCTCTGCTGAAGTTTTAAGCAATTAACTCAATGGAATTTGATTACCAATGTTTTTAAAACCGGATCGGACATTAAATCGGTGAAGGTATTGGTTCACTGGTTCAACCGCGGTTGAACCGGATTTTATATAAAATAATATATATTTTTAAATTTTACATAATATTCAAAGCGATATTAATATATATGTAATATTTTTTTTAAGTTTATAATATTAAAAGGTATAAAAATATCACAAGTCATAACATATATAAATTAAAAACCATAAAATCAAGTGAAACAAAATGATTCAAATCAACTACAACATAATATTTAAGGTAAAACATATTAAATTATAAATATAATTATATAACTATAATAAAAAAAAATTGGAGCTTAAAAAAATCATAACAAATGATGTCATTTGGTTTAATTTTTTTAAAAAAAAACAATCTCACATGGCTAATAAAAATATAAGAGCATCCCAAAAGCTTAAAGAGTAAAAATATGAGAACAAAACAATCCCACATGACTAAGAAACATAGAAGAGCATCCCAACTTACTTCTATAAATAATAGAGGTAATTAGACATTCAAAATCATTGAGCCTTTTGGTGAGCACATAATGAACTATTATTTTGCTTCAATTGAGCTCAAATTTTAGGCTTCAATCGAACTTCTAATTTTTTTTTTAGTTCGAGCCTTTTCGAGTTCAAGTTTTAATATTATATTTCGAGTTTGAGTTGAACTTGATAATTTTTAGCTTGTGAGTTTTTGAGTCGAGTTGAACTTACTTTTAAAGTTTTTGAGTTCAGTCGAGCTCGGCAATACTCGAATTTGACTCGGCTCGTTGAACAAACGACGTCGTTTGGTTTAATTTTTTTTAAAAAGAAAAAAAGTGAACCGACGGTTCAAACCGATTTTACCGGTTTTTAACCGGTTCATTGTCAGACCGGTTTTGTGAGGTAACCGGACCGGACAGGCCACCGGTTCACGTTTCAACCGGTTGAACCGGCCGGTCCGGTCCGGTTTTGATAACCATGCTGATTACTCCACTAATGTTAAAAACATGTAATGGCGACAAGAAGTCATAGAAAGCAAATGAGACCTAGAATTCTTTTCTTCGATCAGAACATATTCTTGTTTAGCCTTAAAAGCCTCCTCCCCATTCAACAGTGCCGAACACTTGGCAAATGGTATTTGACTTGCAACACAAGGAAACTCCTTTGTCGTCTCTCTGTCCTTTCATAGGTTTTCGTGTTGGAAAAACAATCCTCAATCTTTACACTTGAAACACATACAAATTTAGTTTTGTCTTGTCCGGGTTCTTAAGGGGTGAAGTAATTTAGGGAAATGGGGGATCGATAGCTTGACTTGCCAAGAGTCTGGGGTTCCTGCCTCAGTGTAGACTAAGGGTTCTCATGGTGGGTCTGGATGGTTCTGGCAAAACAACCATTCTTTACAAGCTAAAGCTGGGAGACCTGCTTAAAACCAAGCCCACTATTGGTATAATCTAAAACTCATCTTCCTTCATGTCTGGTTTTCGTTCAACTGTAAAGCTCTTTATTTTCTCTGATGTTAAGTTGTTAAGAATTTGACTAATTAATCCCGTGCCTGTTGTATAAATTTCTGATGGAGCAGGTTTTAATGTAGAGAGCATACAGTACAGAAATATATGCTTCGATGTATGGGATTTTGGAGGAGAAAGCAACGTATACTAGATTAGTTTCCTTTGGCTAATGAAATGTATAGGGGAGAGGTTAATTGAATATTATAATACAGATTCGGCCATTGTGGAAACGATACTTCCTTAACGTCCAGGCATTAATCTTTGTGGAGGACAGCAGCTACAGAGAAAGAATCTCGGAAAGAACTCCACTGGGCATTAGCCGATGTTAGTAAGCCCTTAATATTCAAAATCTTTCATGTCATTGCATAGGGATTAATTTGATGCATTGCAGAATGAGCTAGCCAATGCAGCAGTGTTAGTGCTGGCCAATAAGCAAGAGCTGCCCCACGCCATGTCGTCCTCTGAGATTGCTGATAAACTAGGTTTACACTGTCTTGGTCTGCGACCCTGGTAATTCGTTCTCTTTCTTTTTCTAGCCAGGGAAATTTTAACCTAATTTAAGTCTATACAATTAATAATAATTTTGATTACAATTGATTACAATCGAGAATGTTACACTGCAACTAGTTTTAACATAAAATGTTATATGTATACATTAAAAAGTTACGCTATTAATAATAATTTTGATCATAACCCTAGAATATCTTGACGGCAACTTTTTAAATTGTAGCCAGAATAGTTATGCAATCTATATATATTGTTATAAAAAACGCAATATTTCCAGTTTCAACATAAAATGCTATCTAATTTGCTCAAAAAAAAGTTTATGTTCTTGATACTTTTTTTATTACGGCTGATTCTTACCTTCGTTTAGTCTTATGTTAATTAGTTGTATTTTAGATTCATCTTACTAAATCTATGGTTAATGTATTAAGGAAAAAGATTAGAGAATGAACCTTTAATAGTTGAAGTAATGATTGCTATTTTTAGAGGTCTCAAATTTGAGCATCAATAATTGTCAAGGTATTTAAACGTTTATTGTTAAATAGTTGAAAGTTTTTTAAAAAATCAATAAAAAAGATAGGATATTTTGGTGCAGGTTCATCCAGAATACTTCGGCTTACACTGGACATGGACTCTATGAAGGTCTCCATTGGTTGTTCGACAATATCTCAAACATGGAAGATTCGTGCTCCTATAACCACTGTTCTCTTCTGTTTTCACTTGGAAATAAAATTGATCTAAGACTCATTGAAATTGAGAAAGAAGTCGGCATGCTTTAAATATTTTCTTTTCTTTTCGAGTAGCAATTTTAAATCACACACCCTATATATGTTACATGAATTAGATTTTTAGAGAGTATATGTATATTCGATATCTTTAATTTATAATTATATTCGAATATTTGTATGTTTTAGTAGTACTCTTGTTTGAGTAGGAATAATTGGGATACCGAAATATATGGAAAATGCAAATACAAAACAAAATCATGCGGATACTTGTGGCATGTGTAAGGGTGGCAACGGATCGGGCAGGAACAGTTTTGCATTATCCAATTCATCTTCAATACTTGCGGTTATGGTTTTAGGAAATCCTCATTATATGTTTCGGGGATACTTTTGTCTCTATACCCATCCCTTACGGATCCGTGTGGGTTTCGGTTAATCTTCACCCTAAAAAAATAAACAAACATTTTTTAAATCAATGCAACACCTAAACTTGTAAGATATATCAGATTGTCTCAAATTGATCTCTATTTATAATATGAAAGTTTAAAACTTCAATATTCATCTAAAACCAAATGTATATGTACAATCTTAACAATTTTCAATCTCAACAAATCAATGTATATTAAATAAGAAAAGATTTAAAATTCAATTTTAATTCATTTGAGATGTAACAGTGGAAATACGCAATTTCACAATCTTATCATATATAATTTTTATTATTAATGGTATATAGGTAAATGATTATATATATATTTTTAAAATTTTTGTAAAATATCAGGGATCCCTACTGATTTTTTTGGGATCTCTACAGTTATTCACACGGTACGGTTCGATTATCCCTGCGATTCGATATAACAATTCCCGTCTCTATCTCCATTTGAGCTTCGGGGATAAAACTTCCCCCATTCCCTTTTCCGTAGGTAAAGATTTCGATTATTCCCTATCTAGTTAGTTCAGATCCTATGATTTTCGATTTTCCCCCACCCGGTTACCACCCCTAGTCATTTGCTTTGTTTTGCCATCCCGCCAGCAAATCTTTTTATAAAATAATTGAGCTTACCAAACAGATCACTTTCTTATTATATTTAACATATTAAAACAAATTTATTTTGACGTAATCTCTATCTGATATCTCTATCAAGTGATAAATATTTCATTTTTTATGTATACTGTCAATTAATTAAAAAATTATAAATAAATATTATCTTATAATCATTTTAAATTATTTAATTTTTTTAAATTTACCTTAATAAACCAGACATTTCAACAAGGCATTATCGACCATGTAAAAACATTACAGCCTTTTTCATAGTGTAGGCGTGGAAAAAGAGTCCTAAAAATCTTATGTGAAACAGTGTGAATGTGTTCTCTCGAGGATTTCGTATCAGATAAAAAGGTTTAACTTTATTACTTCTTAAAGAATCTAAAACACCCATCCCAATCCCAAGCTGTAAAATTACGTCCTTTTCATGCTTCATTAGTAACCCTTAGAATGCAACTTTGGCAATCACAAAGCTAAACATTTTGATACTTTTAATATTTAAATTTAATATTGTTATAACCAAACCATAATAAATATGAAATCAAATCTTGTCAAATCATTAAAAATAAAATAATAGATACGAAAATGTACTTGAATTAATTGATATATTGAAATAATTGAATTTTATTTTGGTTATGATCTTTTAAGAAGATAGAGTTTCTTTAATTATAAACTCTCTGACATGATAAGATAAAATACGAGATTATCTATTTCTTGGAGACTATAACGCCTTTATATAGCTGAGTTAAGAATCAATTATTGTATGTACTTATAATTTTGTCCCTCTTTAAATTATAAATACAACTTTAATATTATCTAATCACACTTCTAATACCTTATGACTTTATAATATAATTGATAACTTAATTTATGTCATATTTAATGATAACAATGTACATTAAAAACATGTGCCCATAATTATGGATAATCTAACAATCTCCCACTTGGGCAACATATGTTTCTTGATAAATGTATAATCTTATGAGCTCAAAATGTGTTATCATGCAATATGTATTC